TAAATTTTTCTTTCTTTTTAGGCACTAACCAGGCTGTATCTGGACAAGGCCACTTTAATCTGGAATGGAAATGTTGTTACAGGGCTGGATGCCCTAAATAATTTTTTTGAGATGTTGCCTTCTAGTGAGTTCCAGATCAATATGTTAGACTGCCAACCAGTTCATGGTAAGATTATGGTTTTCAAGGTACTTTACTTTGTTTTCCTTTAGTGAGTATTGAGCTTTTACACCAAATGCAAAAATCAATTTGCAGTGGTAGAAGTGTTCATTTAAGTTAAAAATTATGAAATTTCAGCTGTTCGATTAAATTTTTGGTCTTTTCTTTAGATTTTTCTTGCTCCAGAGTACTTCATAGTACTATGAGTAAGTTTGAGTAGGTTTGAGTAGGTTTTTGTGCTTTGTGTGGTTATGGCTTATTGAAAGTTTATGAGAGGTCAGTAGGTGGCATGGTGGTTAATGCCATGGTTCCCACATGGTCAATCACAGTTAAAGTCCCAGACCTGGCAGCTTGAAAATCACATAAGGCATGTGTGCGTGCATACCAAAATTCCCAAGATGAAAGGGAACTGTGGCATGGCAGTTCCCCCCAAGGGGTGATTTCTCACTTTTCCCTCTCACTGTCTGTCTCTCTCTCTCTAGCAACAGCACATACACTTATGGCAAAAACCTTTTAACAAAAAAAGTCATATGAGGGACCAGCAGTTAGCATAGTGGCTATGTCACTGGACTCCCACGTAGTCGACCATGGTTCGCGTCCCGGACCTGGTGGCTTAAAACTCACGCCGGGCGCGTGTGCATGCATGCCCAAGGTCCCGAGAGAAGAACGGAGGAGAAGGAATTGCAGTGTGGCCATCTCCCCTGGGGGGTGATTTCTCACTTTCTGTCTCTCTGTCTCTCTGTCTGGTGAGCACACACGCCCTATAGCAAAAAGAAAAACCTCTCCAAAAAAAAAAAAATGTCATATGGGAAGTTGATACTAAATACAATTTTTGTTCAGGGAGAACAGAAATTTATCTATTTTCCTTAACTTTCTATTGCCTTTTTTTTTTTTTTGAGAGGTTTTCCCTTCTCCTCCATTCTCCTCTCGGGATCTTGGGCACACACGCACACGCGCCCGGCATGAGTTTTAAGCCACCGGGTCTGGGACACGAACCGCGGTCGACTATGTGGGAGTCCAGTGACATAGCCATTACGCTACCTGCTGGTTCCCAATTTCTATTGCCTTTTGAGCCCTGAAATGTCTCCAGAGAAAAATTATACCGTATCTTTGATTAATGTGTTCTAGTATATAACAAACAATTACAAGTTCATAGAAAATTACTCAGTCATGTAAAAGGATAACTTTTGGCAAGAGAGAATTTGACTTGAAGTAGAGAAATACAGTTTATAAATTTTAAAATATTAACCTCTGGTTGAGATCCTAGTTGTTTAGGGGGACTTTTTGTTTCCTTTATAGTTCTATTTTCTTTTTTTTTTTTTGGAGAGGGGAGGTTTTTGCTATAGGGTACGTACGCTTGCCAGAAAGACAGAGAGAGACAGAGAGAAAGAAAGTGAGAAATCATCCCCAAGGGGGGGGGGTGGCCATGCTGTAATCCCTTTCCCTCCATTTTCCTGTCAGGATCTTGGGCATGCATGCACAGACGCCTGGCATGAGTTTAAGCCACCAGGTCTGGGACACGAACCATGGTCAACTACAGGGGAGTCCAGTGACAGAATTACACCATCTGCTGGTCCCTCGTTTATAGTTCTTGAACAATAGCTTAAGAAGCAAAAATATTTTTGAAAGAGATTTTTGCTGTAGTGCATGTGTGCTCACTGGAGAGAAACAAGAAAGGCAGAAAGTGAAAAATCACCAGCACTACCAACCCCGCCCCCTGATGGATAGCCATGCTTCAATCCCTTCTCCATTTTCCTCTTGGAATTTTGGGCACACACACACACACACAGACCTGGTGTGAGTTGTAAGCCACAGGGTCCAGGACTCAAACCGCAGTCAACTACGTGGGAGTCGGGAGTCCAGTGACACAACCACTACACTATATGCTGGTCCCAAGAAGCAAAATACTAATGAGCACTGTTAGAAACCAAATAAAATATTAATACATATGGGAACCAAATGGTCCTCTGTTAAATATAAGGTCTTTATTTTGAAGTTTTAAAGTAACTTTAACATTTTGAAATGAGTATTTAGTTTTCTGGCTTTGGGTGTGCATGCTCACCATTGTGCTTAAGGTAAAGAAAGTTTCTGGAAAATGTTTTAGTATTAGATCATAAGCAATGTTGTTTAAGCCTGAAAATCTTCTTATTTAGAGATACAAACGGATTTCTTCTCTCTTTGTGTGGCTAAAGAGCAGGCTACCCAGTCCCAGTCCACAGTTCTTGTTGTAACCAGTGGAACTGTGAAGTTTGACGGAAACAAACAGCATTTC